AGGCCAGCGTGGTTAGTTGACGGGCAGTTTTTGAGCTTTTCGCCGGCAGTCGCTGAAAACGCTAGCGTACGTTGAGAACGCTGGATCGATACCTATACTTTTCTAATTGCCCAAAACACTGCCGTACACTCCAAACGCTCAAAACTCTAACGTACACTCGGAGCACTGACTCAAAGTATGAACGGAGCTTTCCGTGCACGGGCAACTTACCATTATGTTCAACAACTGGCATTTCACCTATTGCACGAAGCAGTTCTCCCTCACTCATCTGCACACGTTCCAGGAGCATGTCCATACTATATCTGAAACAATAGATATACTAGGTTCCAAAGTTAGGTTTCAAGAAAAGGAAAGAGAAGAGAGGCTCCACGGTTGACAAGTGCCCTGAGACGCACGTGGTCCACAATGTTTTAGCATACAACCTGTGTAGGATTACCGTATCTCAACGAAATGTTGCACCAATACACTCGGATATATTGGAGAAGTGCCAAAAAATTATCTTACGTATCGTTTAGCGAATCCTTTGTGGGCCAATCCCAAGGAAGTCTGTTAAGCTGTAACAAATCTCGAAGCTTATGAATAGAAACGCATGGGATTTTTTGCAATTCCAAGTAGTGATTGGACAGAGTATTAATCTGGAATTAAAAATATAAAGAGAATGATCCAAAAATCAAAAGTTGTACATGGAACGATGGCACTTACTGGTGCAATAGTGAGGAACTTTTCTCCTGTATCTTCAACGTTCGCTGCTACTTTCAATGTCGGCAATATCAATAAAGAGTTTGATGTTTCCACTTCTTTCACAAAATATGAAGAAGAAACTGTACAAAGAACAACCTCATCTTGACGATCACCACGAAATACAAGCCTTCAAAAATAGAAATTTCACAGACAGGGTAAAAAAAAGTCGGCAAAATAGAAGCGGTTTCGCCAGATCAAACCTACAGTGCGCAGAAGTAGGCATTCATTCAAGAAAGACTAATTCGAAGTGCCACTACAGTCGTTTTCACTGCAAACGCTGGGGTACGTAAGGAAGGTTGGATTTGGCGCGTTGCCAGCGCATTCTCCACCAATTGTTGAAGCGGGCTACGAGACAGGTTACAGTACTCTTGTCAAACGGATATGATCTCTCTGCGAGTGGTATTTTCCCATGGTATACACTGGCGCAGCGTTGAAGGGAAAGGCAAAGGAGGAGGAAATAGAGAAGGAAGGAAGGAAAAGAAGGAAGAAGGAAAAAAAAGTAAAGAGAAGCGAGACTCCGTGGTTGACAAGTATACCGGGGCACACGCCCAGCTCTGCAGCGAAAACGATTATA